ATGAACATAGATGTAAGAATCCTCAACAAAATATTAACAAAACAAATTTAGTAACACATTAAAAGTATTGTACCCCGGGGTGGCTCAGTCAGTTAAGCATCCAGCTCGTGATTTGGACTCAGGTCATGATCTCACAGTTTCTGAGATCGAGCCCCATGCCAGGCTCTACACTGACTCCACGGAGCCTGCTTGGGATTCTCCTCTCCTCTTTCTTCCCCTCCCCCACTTGCACAAACGTGTGCACTCTTTCAAAATAAACGTTTTTGAAAAGGTATCATGCAGCATGATGAAGTGGGATTTATTCCAGTGATGCAAGGATGGTTCAACACACCAAATTAACAAAGTGAAGGATAAACATATGGTCATCTAAGTAGATAAAAAGTACTTCACAAAATTCAACATCCTGTTATGATAAAAACTTTCAGTGAAGTGGGTATAGAAGGGGAACATACCTCAGTATAATAAAAGCCATATATGACAAGCTCACAGCTAGCATCATACTTGACAGTGAAAAGCCAAAAGATTTTCTTCTAAGGTCAGAAACAAGACAAGGACATCCACTACCACATTTATTCAACATAGTACTAGAAGTCCTAGCCAAAGCAGTTAAGCAAGTAAAAGAAATATAAGGCATCCAAATGGAAAAAGAAGAAGTAAAACTCACTGTTTTCAGATGACATACTATATATAGAAAACCCTAAAGACTTCATCAGAAAACTGTTAGAACTAGTAAGCGAATTCAGTAAAGTTGCAGGATGCAAAATCAGCACACCAGAAGGTATTACATAAATCGTTTCCAAAATTAGGTTTCATTAGCACATGCATTTATTAAATAATTTTGGCTTTAGTGCCTTTTTTGTTAACTTTTCTCTCTTAAACTGCTAGTGACTAGTTCCAGTTGCCAATTCCTTGCTATACCACTCTGTTTCAAAGCTTTTTTATTAAACTACAACATTCTCCTCTTTTCTTTTAAATAAAATATTTCAGAATTATGGAAAATACAGGGACCAATACAGGAGTCATGAATTTATTACTAATTTAACATCTGTTAATATTTTGCCATATTTTCATAGATCCTTGTCCAATTTATGAAATATTTGATACATTTTAAGCAATACATATTAGCTCTTTAGCATGCAATAATAAAATAAGTACTCAGGAACCTTTCACCAATTTAAGAAATAGAGCTACTAATGTTGTTGAACCTAGTGCATGCTCTTTACCACTGCATTTCCCAGAGTTTAACTGCTATCCTCATACCTCATACCCTTTTTACGTTTATTATTCCTTTGCTCTGTTCTGAATGTGTGCATGTATAAAAAGCACATTCCCTTACCCTGTTTCATTCTTTTCTCTGTCAGAGTAAATAGTGGTTCTTCTACTTCTCTATTATCTCTTTTCCCCCCTAAATTTTTTTTAAAATGTATTTTTTTAATGTTTTATTTATGTCTGATAGTGTGAGCAGGGGAGGGTCAGAGAGAGAAGGCTCTGGGCTGCCTGTCAGCACAGAGCCTGACGCAGCACTCGAACCCACAAATTGTGAGATCATGACCTGAGCCAAAGTCGGCCGCTTAACCGACTGAGCCACCTAGGCACCCTTCCCCCTAAATTTTTGATGAGATAAAATTTACATAACATAAAAGTTATCATTTTAAACTGTTTAAAAGTATACAATTCAGACATTTTTAGTATATTCACAATGTTGTGTAACTGTCACCATGAATTAATTCCAGAACATTTTCATCAAACCAGAAAGAAATCACATACATCCCAAGTCCCCTTTCCCCACTAAATCACCCGGGAACCACTACTCTACTTTCCGTCTCTTTGGATTTGCCTGTGAACATTTTCATGTACAAGTTATTGTGTGGATATATGTTTTTATTTGTCTTGGGTATATTCTTAGGAGTAGAATTGCTAGGTCATATGGCAAGTATATTAATGTTTTGAGGAACTGCAATAGTGTTTTCCATAGCACTTGTAATACATTCGTATTAGCAGTATATGAGGGATCCAGCTTCTTCAGTCCTCACCAACGCTTGTTTTTTTCTTTCTTTCTTTAACCGTAGCTATCCAAGCTGGTGTCAGTAATATCTCATTGTGGTTTTGATTTGCTTTTTCCTAATGACTAATGGTATTAACATCTTTTTATGTTCTTATTGGCCATTTCTAGATCTTCTTTGGAGAAATACCTATTCCTATTTTCTGTGTGTCAGTTCTTGTAATTTTTATGTTTTTTAAGAATTTGTCCTCCCCGCAAACAAGAATTTGCCCAGTTCACCTGCATTTTTTAATTTGTTTGCATACCCACCTTGTCAAATTAAAAAGATTATAAAGATTGCATACAGTCGGTATCCTTACCAATCCTTTCATCCCTGATTTTAGTAATTTGAGACTTCTGTTTTCTTTGTGAGTCTAAGTGAAGACTAGCGAGTTCTGTTCATCTTTTAAACCAACTTTTAACATTTAACATTTTCTCTAAAGTGTTCCTGTTTTTATTCCATTTCTGCTGTTTATTATTTCCTTTCTTCTGCTTGCTTTGGGTTTAGTTTGCCTTTTTTCTAGTTTCTAAGGTGGAAGATTATTGATTTAAAAATTTATTTTTTAATTTCTTAAAATTTTTATTCATTTTTGAGAGAGAGAAAGAGAGTGCACAAGCATGGGAGGGGCAAAGAGAGAGGAGGACAGAGGATATGAAGCAGGCCCCTTGCTAACAGCAGCGACCTCAATGCTGGGCTCAAACTCACAAACTGTGAGATCATGACTTGAGGTGGAGGTTGTGCACTTAGCTGACTAAGCCACCCACGTGCCCCAAAATTGGTACTCTCTGATAAGGAAATAAGATTTTCATCAATACTAAGAAAACTACATTTAGGAAAAACACTTCGACCAATCTAAATAAAATTAGGTGCAGTGGAATGAATTTTATGTGACTAGAGAAATTTAGGAGAAAGAATATTAAAATTACTGTCTCAATAAAGGAAAAAGAGAACTGGTAGGAGAAAGATAAAACGTAAAACTTATTAAGTACATTTTGGAAACTTTTAAGGCAATTTGGAAAGACAAAATACTCATTTAAATATTTTAAAGAATAATATATGGATGGTGAACTTTAAATGTCCAGAGAGTGAAGTGCCTTGTATTTTGTGACATTTGGTTTATGGTAGTGCCTTGAAACTAGCCAGCTTGACTAGGAGAATTTAGACTTCATGATGCCACTAAAGTGTAAGTGTAACCTCTGGGTTTCGTTTAGTAGGTATATTTATAATGCTTAAAATGATGAAACAAATAATATGTATGTAGGGATTATGGTTTGCTTTCCAAGTCCAGTTGAAAACTAACCTCTTGTCTGCCTGGTTCTAATTGTTCTATTTCAGGTATGATTTTCCTCTAGTGCTTTTTAGGTTGTTTAACAATTTTATTTATTTACAAGTTTTTCTTACTAGAGTATAAACTCATTTACAGTAGGGTTGGGTTTTATTCATGTTTATTTCATTGGCGTTTTGCTCATCATCTACTTGGTGCTCCATAAATATTGAAGGAATAAATAAATCATTGTCAGTCACTGCATAGTCCTGGAAGAGTTTTCATATATTCTTGGCAACACGTTCATTTTCCTTGGGAATTAAACTTTGCATTAGGCAGTCTTGTTTTCTCAAGAGTAGGAACCTGGTTTTTGCTACAGTAATGCATTTGCTTCATTTGTTTGTCCTGGCTATTCTCATTCTCAATATAATTTTGAAATAGTAGATTAAAGTAGCTAAAGTGCTTAGATCTATTTTCACAGCAGTATATTGCTAATTGATTTCTGTGCCCCATTTACTGTGCTTTTAAATTTTCTTTAATTATGGTACTTCTAGTTTGTCATGACCATGCTCATTAAACAAATCTCATTTGATGGAGGAGGCAAAGTAATGTCAACCAATTATTCATAAATAGCTGCTATAGGGTTGAGAATAAGCATGGATGCTAATTGATTTTAGGGGTGAACGTTCTTCCTCAAGAATGTAATCCTACTGAGGTTTGTTATAATATAATAGTTTGTAGGAAACTAGATCTTTGCTGTTTATGTATATCCCCTCTCCATTGCAGGGAAGCATTAAGAAGGTAGGGATCTAAGAACAGAGATGAGCAATTCTCAGGCATCACCACAACCTATTAATCATTTGAGATTCCCTACACGTAATGAGGTATTACAATGAGGTATTACTGATAGGAGGAGCTGTTGGTGTGAACAGTGTGGAGATTGAGAACCGTTGATCTAGATGATTCTAGATCTAATTTCTTTTTAATCACAGTAGACTTGTTTTTCCTTCTTACCTGATATAGTAGGCTGTATTCTTTATTTTTATACATTACATTACTATATTCCAGGATGCAACAAATGGTACTGTTTGTTCCTATGCTGGAAGGAATTTGGCTAATACTGTAGAGCCTTGCTAAGTATTATAAGACATATACTGTAGATAAGATGGTAAGATTTTTTTCCATTTCAAATCAGCCAAGCTATTTATCTCTTGGATCACTCTAAGCTTCTGGAAGACAGGCTTCAAAGACTTTTAAGTGATAAACACAGAAGGATATTAACATTTGGATGGTGAATCAGCCACTGGGAAGAAAAAGTAATTTTCAGTATGCATGTTAACTACTAGAAAGCAAAACGAACTTACAGGTGTCTCATTGAAACAAGAGAGACAGAACCTGCAAAGGGAAGGGATTAGTATAAATGGAAATGAATTTTTAAGAATTACTTTTAAACTGATTAAATGATAATGCCGTTAACAGTTTATTTAGAGCAATGCCTTTTTATTTTAGCAAAAACCAATTTATAATCACTTAATTTTCCATAGATTTTTTGGTTTTGTTTTTTTTGTTTTTTTCCTTTAACCCTACTGATTGTTCTGCCCATAGTGTCTTAAGTTTCTTGACTTGTACTTATCGTGGTAGTTTTTAGGAACTGATTATTAAAAATTTTAAATTAAAGTGTGTCTTTTCTTTAGACAGAGATGACAGTTCTACACTAACAAAGCAGGAACTTAAATTCATAGGTATGTACCAAATTCAAGCATGATTTTAAGGGTAATAGTGTTAAAATAATTAATCCTAATGTAGCTTAGAAATCTTCCTATATATACAGCAGTAATGGGGAGCTATAGTCCCAGAAATGATAACCGAAAGGACTTCTCCATAATTCTGGGTGGTTGGTGGGATGACTGTTTATAAGATTCTTGTATTTGTTTGGTTTTGCCATATTGCCTCAGACACGGTAGGGTGGGTTTTAGGATTTCTAAAATTATTTACCTGCCAGGGTCTAGATGCCTAGACAACTTTGTACATCTATGACCCTTCTCTCTCACTGAGGGAAAGAAGAATCAGAGACCATATTCTATGATTTATAATAAATTTCTGATTCTGTAATGTACTTTTCACATCCTTCTGGATCAGTCGAGAGTGATCATGTGTACTCTGAAAACACTGTTCTTAACCAGTTAATGTACGCAGCCACTCCCTCCCCAAAAAACCTCAGTTTCACATACTAATAAAACTAATCTTTGTGGGCTGTGAGTACCTGCACTATGGAACTATTTCTTCTCAAAAGTGTCTTAGCCTTTTTTTCATTTGAAAAGTGTGAAGTTCTTTCTGTATCTAAAAATCCTGGTCATTTTCTTTGGGGAAATAATTCTGTACTGTAAATGGATCCTTTCAGGAACATAAAATCTAAAAGGATAAATCGGTGCATAAATAATAATTTCAAGACATATAGTTATAACTTCTTTAATGATCTACAGTATAAAAAGAATTCAAGGTCAGGGAAAATTACTTTCAGCTGAGGGAATGAGATGTCCAGAGAATGTAACATTTTCCCAGATGCTTAAAGCATATGTAAAATTGAGCTATTTAGAGATAGGGATCAGGGATAGACTTCCAGTCCCTGGAATACAAATAGCACAAGCAGTGGCACATAGGCATGTAAAGTGATGGTGATACTGATATTTGATATGAAATGTATGAAAAATAATAGCCTTACATATTAGCCAAAGGAGTTGAAAATAGTTGGTAGTTGGGAAGTAGTTTGAGTTGGGGAAAAAATAAAACCTGTTGTTCAGGAAGGTTCATCTGTCTTTAGCATATAAAAATATTGAAAGGAACTAGAGCACAGAGAAACCAATTAGAATTTTTTGTAATCTAGCTGAATGTATTGAGGGCCTGAGTGAGGGTAGTGGAAGTCAGACTGTTAAGACGTAAGTTACTCAGAAAGAACTGGTAGTATTTGTTAATAAAATGAGTGACAGTAGCTGGGGGAGGGTGGGTATTCATTTACCAACAAGATGTTTAGGTAGAGATGTTTAACATGCAAATGAACAGATGAGGTTAGACTTTGAGCATGAAAGAGAATTGGAAGTAAATCCAGATAGGGGATAAATATAAACTCTAAAATTGGTCATGGCTGAGGAAGACAGGTAGAGAAGACAGAAAGGTTGGATCAAGTTTCTTTTATTATTATTATTTTTAAAGTTTATTTATTTTTGAGAGACAGAGCATGAGTAGGCAGAGAGAGAGGGAGACACAGAATCAGAAGCAGCTCCAGGCTCTGAGCTGTCAGCACCAGAGCCTGACATGGGACTCAAACCCACCAACTGTGAGATCATGACCTGAGCTGAAGTCGGATGCTTAACTGACTGAGCCACCCAGGCGCCCCAGATCAGGTTTATTTTAAAATAAAAAGTATTAATAATTGGAAACGAAGACTCTAGAAAGATAAAGGGTTAAGATGCAAGAGAAGACTATTTCATGAACCAAAGAAGCAGGACAGATGAGATGAACAAGTAGAAAAGTAACTTGAAGGAAGACAGAATAGCTGTGGAAACATTGAGCAGAAAAAAGAAAAATTAGTAACTAGTTTTATAACCTCCACAATTTGGGATTAAGGAATGTTAATGAATTAATTAGATAATTTTAGAAGTAGGTTTTCTCTCCAAATGAAATAATTACTTTCAGGTATACATGAGTAACTTGAGTGTATTTACAGAATTTATCCTGTTAGTGTACTTGAAAAAAATGTTTAAATGATTGCATAATAGTGATAATGATACCTATATATGTAAAGACTTTCTGTTGTAATTCTCAGGGTTTCCTGAAAAGTGATCTCGTTTCCTCTCGTATTCTTTATCAAGAATGTGGCTATCTTTCATTCCGTTCTCTGCCTGCTCCTAACTGAATTAGTCACCAACTGGTACCTTCTAAATATTTTTTCTAGTTAATTAATTTGAAGCTTCCTAGACATGACTTTTTATATCTAGTTTATAGACAAAACTAGATAGTTCATATTTTCAAAATCCCACCTTCTCACAGCTGTGAGTTTGTTCAGATCCTTATTTCTTTCCTACATTACTATATTAGTCTCCTTTTGGTTTTGTCAGTGTACCTGGAATTGATCAGGTGGGCTAATAACTCAAGCCAATTTGGCAGAAATGAATGTCATTTAATCATCTATGATTAAAACATTACTGTCAAGAATTACCCAGAATTGTTTATCTTTCCTTAAAGTAATCTTGGGAAAACAAGTTATAATTGGAAAGTTACTTCGTTAGTGAACCTGACCTCAGAACAAGGACAGTCATTTAGGTCATGTTTAAAGATTATCACCATGTGGGGCACCTGGGTGGCTCAGGCAGTTAAGCGTCAAATGCTTTGATTTCTTCTCAGGTCATAATCTCAGAGTCATGAGATCAAGGTTGTGAGATCAAGCCTGGTTTAGGACCTCATGCCCACTTTAAGATTCTCTTTCTTCCACTGCCGCCCCCCTGCTCTCCTATGCAGGCGCGCTCTCTCTCTCTCTCTCTCTCTCAAAAAAAAAAAAAAAAGTATCACCATCTTAATAACGGTCTTTTATATTTTTGTGTAATGCAGTTGATTGCTTTCTTAGCAGCTTCCTTTCACATTCATTTCTAGTCCTGTGTTTGCAGGAGCTATGCCTATGTCCCAGGTACCTTGATAATTAAACCTGGAGTTAGAAACCATGTCTCATGGTGAGCTGCTCCTATAGATGGCCTCTATGACTTGTTTCACACTCAGAGGGTCCTTTTATCTAAGGATCTCTGGATATACGTATGCGCCTATTCCTGAAAGGTGGTATTTTTTTTTTTTNGTTGTTTTTTGCCTTTTTAAAAAAGTAAAAATATTTCTTTAAGAGATCATTTTTATAAGTGTGATTTTTTAAAAAAATTGTTGCCTGATGAGTAAACGTTTTTAGTCTTTGTAGGTAAAAGTTATATTCTGTTTTTTTTTTTTTAATTTTATTTCTAGGAGAGAGAGAGAGAGAGAGCGCGTGAACAGGGGAGGGTTAGAGAGAAAGGCAGACACAGACTCTGAAATAGGCTCCAGGCTCTGGGCTGGCAGTCAGCACAGAGCCCGACGCGGGGCTCGAACCCACGAACCGCGAGATCATGACCTAAGCGAAAGTCGGACGCCCATCCGACTAAGCCACCCAGGCGCCCCAGTATTTTTATATAATAATGGCTAAGGTATTTGGAATTATACTTCTCAGTCTTTCTGGCATTATGCTTGTAATATTTAGAGAAACTAATATTTTCATTCAAAAGATGTATAACAGAGTTGTTTCTGGGTATGTCAAGATATAGGAGACCAAAAATGTTCAATCCATGTTGGCAGTAATAGGAAATCTGATTTTCTACCCAAATCAAAAGTCCTAAAGAAACTATGGAAAGAAAATAAATCAGTGTAAAGATAGGAAAGACATGAGGGAAGATAATAATTTGAAACAAAGTAAATATTTAAAAGAAGCAAGTAGAGGGCACCTGAATGGCTCAGTCCATTAAGCATCTGACTCTTGATTTCAGCTCAGATCGTGATCTCACGGTTCGTAAGATCAAGCCCCGCATTGGTTCCAGCATGGAGCACGCTTGGGATTCTCTTTCTCCTCGTCTCTCTGCCACTTTCCTACTTGCTCTCTTTCTGCAAAATAAAAAATAATGATAAAAAACATAAGTAGAAATTTAAGGTGTGGAAAACTGTTAAGATTCAAAGTAAAGATCACAGTGGATGGTATAGGTAACAGTGGATACAGTGAAGAACAGAATAATTCATGGGTTTTATATGTATTTAAAATACAAACTATATAGTATGGAGGACAGAAGTAGAATCCAGATAACAGGAGCTCCAGGAAGGGGGAGAGAGAAATGGAGAGGAGGAAATAATCTGAAGAAATAATGGAAATTAACTTCATTTAAAAAACAAAAAATGTGAGAGGTCTTAGTTTGAACCGGCCCATAGAGGGCCAAAGAAAAAGAGTGAAGGAAAAATTCTCATCTAGATACATTATAGGGGAAATTTTAAATTATCACAGACAAGGAAAGAATTCTAAAACATGGACTATTAAGATGAAGTCTTTCTTGGAGAGAGATCTACAAGTACTACATAAAAATAACTTCAGTTCTAAGGAGATGCTGCAAGATATAAAATGTCTAGATTTAACAGCTAATTATCATAGCAAAAAAAATTGGAAATACTGGGAGTATAAAGATTATAGTTATATTTCTTGTAGCATCTCCTGGATTCAATTTTCAAATGATATTTCAAATGATATTTAGGTAGCTTACCTAGCTACTTGGAAATGTATCTGTGATATGTTTTCCCTGACCCCAAACCCAGAACAACAAGTTATATATATAGTATGCATAAAATAATATATACATGGCATAAAGGGTTATCAGTTTCTTTCTTTTTTTTTTTTTTAATGTTTTATTTATTTCTGAGAGTGAGCGTGAGACAGCGTGAGCAGGGGAGGGTCAGAGAGAGAGGGAGACACAGAATCTGAAGCAGCCTCCAAGCTCTGAGCTGTCTGTCAGCACAGAGCCTGATGTGGGGCTTGAACCCACAAACCGTGAAATCATGACCTAAGCCGAAGTTGGACGCTTAACTGACTGAGCCACCCAGGCAGCCCAGGATTATCAGTTTCTTACTCTGTTTTCATGGTGCTCAAATTCTGTTGGAAGAGTCAGAAATATAAATAAATAATTGCAGAATA